TCAAAGGCTTGGCACCATGATCTTGGAAGTCATTTCAAATCTTAGTGCTTCTATRATTCTAGCTATCTCTGAAAAGACTCTTGAAAGCAGGCTAGCAGGCAGAGCACTGATAATTTCCATATCAAAACATACTATCAAAGAATGTTCAAGGTACTTGAACCATGCTCTTACTTCTCTTATTGTCCAGCTGGGTCAYGTACACATGTGTGAGCAAAGGACATTGACAGGAATCGGGCACCACTACTCCATTTTTAACCCTTCTCCCTAATACAGGACTTTYCCTGTGTAGGGAAGAATGAGAATCTCATTTCATCACGTTCTTCCACTYACTTGACAATTTTATGTTACCTTCAACCAAATTAAACTTCAGGTAAGACGGACCTTTTTTACTGAAAAATTATGGGGTTACTGGGAAAAGCTGAAAGCGCCTTCCTTTTATTTTGGCAATGAACACTTCTTTTAGTGTTAGATGCTTCACTGTACCAGAAGAGTCTTTCTGAATGGTTCTGTTGCATGGCATTGRTTGAAATAGAAGAAAGACTTATTTATTAGTTTTGATCATTAAAAAAAGTTAGTAAATGTCATTTATGTAATTTTCCAAGCTGGAAAAAAGGTAACAAATTTTGTGTGTTTTTCTCTCTAAAACTACTTATCTGCAGATGAATTATCCACCTTGTTTCTAAAAAGGAGGGGAATCAACATGATATATCTGCTGTAAACTTGTCTCTTCACAAAAATAACGAATACAGTAATATGGTTCCAAGTTATCCATCACCACTGTCCATTGCTTTGTGGTGGTTTTGTGGGATTTTGTTCATTTATTAGGTTTGGGGTGGGGTTTGCTTRTTTGCTTAAGAAATTTTAACAAAATGATAATTTGTACTAGCCTCTAGCAAACAAGAAAAYATAAAATATTTCAGCCTATTTTTAAATATTTCAGTCTGGCAGTTGGAGCCTTGCATTTAAAAAGGGGTTACAATGACAAGTGGAATATAGAGAATATAAGGCACAAAAAATAATTCCAGATGTTTTTACTGCAATTAAGAGCTAGGTTGGATTAATTACAAGAATTAAATTGACAATTTGAAATAAACTCTTAAAATTAGGGTTCATAAAAATTGCTCTTCACAAAGACACAATTATTAGCTCAAAGCTTCAAAACTACTGGATATCAATGGAAAATTCAGAGAAAAATTTTTTTACTGTCAGTCAGGACAGAATGAATCCTGCTGGCATTACAGAAATAACCTTAATTTTGATTCTGAGAGTTTAATCTCAGTAAAGGATTCTTTGCACAAAATGGTATTTTCTACATTACTCAAGAACTCTACAGTAAAATCGATTTGGTATCATGCATAAAACCTAGYAGGCTATCTAGTCTTGCCCAAATAATCTTTTCTTTTTTTCATGATTTACATTCAGATCATCTTCTTACAGAAAGCAGAGACACKTTTGTTAGTAACTCCTGTGACTTTTACAGGTACTTCATGAGTTTTTTCTGACACCATTTCTTTTTCATCATTGCCTTAAAGTATATTTTTCAACTTTATCGAATCAACACAGTAAAGTGGTAAATTTATGGTCCCTAATGTAAGCTAATTACTATAAATCACAGAGTCACTTAAAATATGCATTTTCCCCCTCCAGGCATATTTTTCTTCCAAATTACAACTTCAATAAAAATTTAAGATCTAATACAGACAGTCACATGGTTGGTATGACTGCAAACATAAATAGAGAAATGAACTTCATCGACACCAGTTTATAGCTGCTACCATAAACTATAGTAACACAAATGTGACTATGACAAGCAAGGGATGATTCTGAGCAATGAAGCACCTGTATGTCATTATTTGGGAACATCAGGAGAACTATGAAAATATTTACTCTTCAGTAAAGTTGCTGTTGATGGCTGTACCGCCAAGGGCCCTCCATCAGTCTTAAAGTCAGAATGTTCGTATCGACAGACATATTTTCCCTTTGTAATGTCTTAAACAAAGAAAGCATTAATAGCTTAATGATCAGACATACAAGCCATCAGTCAATCCAGACACCATGCAACCATTATATCAAAACTACCCCGTGTAGCATGAACCCTTTGAACCCTTTAAATTAGTCTGGACAAATTCCCTGCTTTCCCAAATGGATTTCCTATTGTAAACATACACTTTATCGCAAACYTGGCATTTTTCAAGTGTCTTTTTCTATTCAGAAAACCCAGCTTGGTAAAGGATAATCACTGGAAAACACCCMTTAGAAATTTTTWAAWTTTTTTTWAAATTATTTCAGATTTCATAGTACTTCAAATTGCTCTCAGCCCCTGTTATGACCTAATAACAAATATGTTGGTCTTGCAGAACAGTGGCCAACTCTCCTGAAAAAAAAAATGAATCGTGTAACAAAATCTCTGATATATTATTAACATTATTAACAAATCATGGATTCTTTTGTCTTCAAAAGCATCCTAAAGTATTTTTCTATCATATATTTCAACCCTTAGAAAAACATAGAACTCAAAACCATTATACATTTGAAAGATAGTTTGCATGCAGCTGTAATGCTCTGAAAACAGTTATAACATATACTTGTATATTTTGAATACAGATTTTATTTTAGTCCTACAGTAACAAAGTACATCGGACAAAACCGCACATAACTTCCAGGCAAACATTTTCTTCAGTTTTGCCACCAAATTYTTAGTGGCTTCATTAGCAGAAAAATTAGCTCATTTACCCCAMTGAGACCTGAGAGATCCCCTTCAATTTCTGGTATTATACTTCCACAACTGTGCAGCATTCATTAAATAACTGGTCCTTGTATTTCCAACACTGAACAAGAGCAACCCTTTTAGTCAGTTTTATCACAGCAAAGCTGTTAAAGTGCTAGCTAGAAATTTATTGCCAGAAAAAAATACRATGCCAAATATCTGTTATTCCCTGAAAATATGCAAGTTTGCAGTATTTCTTCCACTATATCTCTGTAGGTAAGAAAACCCAAATTTTATTTATTCTTAGAAAAAAGTTTTCAGCAACAGAAACCATTTAGCAGTCTGAAAAAAAATTGTGACACAATGGGAACACAGAACACAACTTTCATATTTGCTAAATATCTGACTGAAGTGATTGCCAGGTCTAGAAAACAAGATAAAATCCGTTCTAAGTGAAATGGCATGTATGAGAATAATGTTGATGTTATGGTAAAAGAGGCATTTCTTTTTATGCTAACAGTGTATTCCAAATATTTTCCTTTTATTAAGGAAACACTTCCATAGTTTAGTGCTCACAGGGCAGAAAACATTCTGGAGATGTAGACTGCATCAAAACTGTCTTCTAACACATTCCCTCCAAATAAAAATACAACAAACCATTGTGTAGAATTGTTTGAAGAGTAAATAAAACTCTTCAGAGTATTTTCTTTCACCAGTGTTCCACTCGACTGCTTGCAAGGAAACCTGAACACCAGCTAGGAGCTTCTGTCTGTAAATATCATTGGTATGTCAGAAGATTTCCCCACTCCCTGACTAAGCTTCTTAAATTACATTCAGATTTCTGTGGTAGCATAACAACTTCAATATGGCACATCATTCAGTATTTCRTAAAGATTTTGTTTCTATTTCCACCACCAGTTATTGTTGGTTTATATTTTTCATCCTGACTGCTCTGCAGGATGTACATCCTTACAATGTTTACGCAAAGTCTTAAAGCTTTAACATAGAATATTGTTAAGCACCATGCTAAAACCACATCAGGATATATGCTGAAGCTATATCCTGCATTACAGGATACACAACAAATTTTAGCATATTTTATCAAAATTTGTGTCAAAGCAACCAAATTCCCAATGGCTAAATAAAAAGTAATCAAAAGAAAAAGCAAAAAAAAAAGATGGTTGGTTGGGCTTTTACGATATTCATAGGAATTTCCTTYGAATTCAATTCATGGGAATGCATGTTCCTCAGTTGTGAAGTTTGATTTTCCAAATTTAAATGAGAGCTAAATCCAAAACAAATYTCAACAAAACTGTTTTGCTTTGCCTGCTATGAGTCAATATCATCTAAAATGCCAAAATATTTTTTGCCTCCCAGGTGGAAATGGTAGAAGATCCCAGATTCACTCTGAACCCAGCATAAGCTTTCTAAAAGTATTCTAAGTATTCTGGGYATGCACCAAAATCTGGATTCACTGCACATTGCAAAAATCCTGTGAATTAAATGCAAATTAAAATTAATGTGTACTGAAGATAATTCTTGAAACTAACTGGGGATCAACTCTTAATTAAGTTCAGAACATTCCTTAATTCAACTAAAGCAGAGTTTAGCTGTGGACCTTAGGCATAGATATAAAAAAGCATTCTTTTTCTTCATAGACCATTCTCCAAATTTTAACCACAATCTCACCTGGTCACACTCAYTAAATCAGAGCAGAATTGGCAAGACATCTACACAATGCAGAACTATATAGAGCACGATTTGGAGCACAAGAACATTATCTGTTCACAGTATTTTGTATAGATAACTTTCATCCACTATATAAACATCATAAATACACTGAGTACGAAGTATGGCAAATGCTTAATCGATTAAATATATATAATGAATTTATTGTGTTTTAGCTGCCTGTATTTTATATTTCTATTGAAACATGGATATGTATGTTATAGAGCATTGATATTAGAGTCTTCAAAAAACTGGGGGTATTATTCTGTTTGTCGTAACTACTGGACAGAAGGTAAAAATCCGCTAAATTTATGTGAGACACTCCTACTTGGCTTGATAAGGAAAGGTTAAGCAGAATTTAACTGGTACCATCTGTATCTTCTATTGAAACATTCTATTCTTTTCCTGTGAAATAAATGTAGTTTGCATCAAACACCTACTTGATAAAGCTACTTAAATTACGTCAAAGGACAGTCTTCAGCAAAGTACAGGGAGAAATATGGAAATTTGAGGGCTTAAAGCTCTGTGAATGAGAATTTTTCAAGAAGCTCTYACGGATTCTTACCAGTTCTTGTGTATCTTCTGCTAATGGCAAAAACGTAGCTTCCAAAATAGCAACTTGATCAGGGCTGAGCTTCTGCCACAAACTAATTAGCATAATCACCAGATGGGTGGCACTTTTCAACTTTGCAAATGCCTGGAACATGTTGGCTTGATTTTCTTCAGCTGCATCTGCTAGAGCTATTACCTGYGAAAATTACAAACATCTGTTAAATATAATTGTACTATCCATGAACACTCAACACTGAAATTACCTTTGGCACACTCTTGTTTTCCTTTAGAAGATCCTGAGGAATTCTGTTTTCCATAAACACAAACCACAGAGCATTAAATGAGTTATCATTTATCTAGATTTTTCTTTTGCATACCCAAGGCAATTTCAAGTCCATATGGCAATGGGATTAATCTATCTAATATAATCAGTAGAGAAAGGATTTTGTTKAGAGCATATTTTTAAGGCATTCCTGAAATTAATCCCCATCATATCACATAATATATGTGACAACAAACTAACTTTCAGGTTCATACCACACAGCAATTTCCATTTGACCAGCAAGTCTACTGTATTAATCAAAAACAACACATTGCTTTTATGCAATTAAAAGGTAGTATAATTATTTCCCTTGGAACAACACTGCCATCTGTTAATTTATTAATTCTCATGTCTCTCCATGTTTTGCACTTTCTTCAGCTTTTATGCCAAAATGTAAACATTATGGATCATGTTCATGAAGGCAATATCACTTTAAGTGCCAGACATTATGAAAGAATTTTCAAAATAAAAGTAACAGATTCACTTCTTTTAATATGGTAAAATGGTTTTGCTGAGTACTTCAAGCTGGGGGGAAACAGAAAAGCTATTATATGATATTCTACTCAGTTCAGAAATAACTTGTCATTGTATTTAATATTGTCAACTCACAGCATTAAAAAAAAAGATATTTTGAAAAATATTTCTATGGATGTCTTCTTTCTTGAAATAGAATGTTTAGACATTTTCCACCACTGGTGAAAAGACGACAATGATTTCAATAGGCAATTGCTATAACGTCAACATGACATGAGATTTTCCACAGCATTTGTACTGAAGTACTTCAAGAGAAGGAAAGGAACAAAGGTTAGGGGCTTATCCGGGGGGAGCACAACTCAGGAGACCTRTTCTCCTGAGTGCCACTACATCTCCGTGCTGCCCGAATAACACTTGGCTTACAGAAGCGTTGACTATCTTATTGTCATTTAAATCAACACAAAGCACTTCCCTCAACCACTTTCTGTTTATTTATCTGCAGGATGGGCTAATAGGTGCTTGACTGGAGTTGTGAAAAGCCTCACAGAAATGCAGTTAAAGTGCAATTAGTATTACAACGGAATTTACAAAATAAAACTTGCAGAGCCTGATCCATTAACATTTTGGCAACAGCAAGAGAATACTATATGATGCATCTTCAGCAGGGAAAGAGAGCCAACCAGCTGTTAGCATTTGGTGGAGGAAAACTATTTTTAATCAGCAATGCTGGCATTAGGGATATGTGTCTGTGTTCCCTCCAAGCTCCCATGTGACTGGGAAGATAAAGAAAACAGAATTTTAGGGAACTATAAATATGAAATATTTCAAACAAAATGTGTTGATAGCTTTTGGTTTAGATTTTAAAATGYAATCTTTCCAAATAAAGCAGAGAACCCACAGGACTCATGTGTCCAAACCCTACATAAATCAGAGCCAAGTAAAAAAAAATAAACAAACAAAAAGTCYCAGCTAACCATAGGAAGGAGAACCAAKAAACCAAGAAAAAGGAGAACCAAGAAATTAAKCCCAAGCAGTGAAAACCAAYATGACATACTTTAGTCAAAGAGTAATGATATCACCAACAAGTCACTGGTGCACTGTGTTGACATTCAATGCAGTCTGACCAAAGCCCTGATGCTTTCCACACCTACTATTCTGCACAAGGTCAAGTTCCATATCACAGTCACTTTCCAAGAGTTATGGGTGACAAAGCCACCTGATAAGCACAACACCACATAGCAACCTACATCAGCTGTCTCTGAACCCCATCATCAGGAATTGTATTCACCATACAGCTTCACCTTTCTGAGGAGACAAGAAACATCAGTAAAATCTTCCTCAGTCTAACAGGGGCCTTCAAATATCTAATCACCTTTCCTGTCCAATATACCATTGAAAATTTGGGAAGAATAACAAATGGAGATGAATTTTACATGAGGTGTGTTCATTCTATGCTTCCTATAATGTCGTCCCTGATTGGGACAGTACAGTTCAGATTTCCAAGCAAGCCACCTGTACCCTATTRTGGATAATGATCAGGCGATATTAAATCTGCTGAAGATGCAGGCAAATACAGTTACCCTTGTGTGACAACTACCTRAACCCCAGTTACACAGCAAAGGCGAAGGCTACTTTCTAGACTGATGACTAAATTTCCAGGTGGTCTCTCATTCTATGCTTTATTTCAACTGACACACCACTACATACTTCAGAAAAACAAAGAGCATAAAGAGAATTAATTGACATGGCCTTTTACCTTATGGAGCTTTCATTTTAGGATASGTTTTCTTCCCATTTTTATAACATAAACAAAAGAGATGCTCACCTGGCTGTATAAAACAAATATCACAGTACTCCCAAACAATGCCTGATGTACCAAACCCATAACCTATTTTGAAAGCACTTTCATTAAAAACCCTAAGAACAACTATTAAAATGTTTTTCTTTTGCACAAAATTCTAGAGTTCTTATGTACAATAATATAAGACAAATATTATACCAGTGGTAGACCTAAGTTTCTAAAGGAGAAGTGCAATCTTTAAGCACTGCAGGTCACTGCAATTACATCTTTAGGTAACTGCATAYATACAAATTCTACTTTACACTTGCAGAAAAATACAAGGAAGGGAAAAAAGTGTTTCTAAGTACTAATTATTCTGTTAACAGATGAAGTGACCCAATATAGCTTTCTGAGATCTGGAATATCCAGGACAATACAATATGAATTACAACACTATAATGTAGGCACAGGTGAAGTAATTTTTAAAAAGCCTCAAGATTAAAGATGCCTTGACAATACATGGTTACATAGTAAATACTTGATAGGAGGAGGAAAAAAGAAATATTTTCTAATGGAATAAAGTCACTCTAAAAATCTCCCAGGACATCAGGTACAAATTGTAGAAGTGTTCTGGGGCTCTTCATTCAAATACTTACAGAATTTAAGGACGACATTCAGTTCTAACATATGACTTTCATATTTTTAATTATTTTATTTTCACTTAAAGATCTCCATTGATATTTTGCAATAGTTGASGAAGATAAAGGATCAATCTGAGATCCTCATCTCTTCAGACTCAGTCTTGACTTCCCCCTAATTTCCTAATTTTGTTTTCAGTTTTCRTAGCAGCTGTTCAATCTGTTTAGTATCCATTTTATCATCTTTCTAAATAGATATAAAACTTTATGAAAAAGAAAACCTCCCTCTGTCTCACTTTTTCACAGGATAGGTAGCTTCAAATGTAGTTTACATACTAAGATTAGACCAACTGGAAACGACTAAGTAAAAAGTCCATCTATATTACACAACACCTTATCACTGCTTACTTAACATCTTTCTTTCTGCTTCTGTAATATCACAAAGCTTTCAAACAAAGAAAACTAAAAATAAGTTTTCCAAACTTTTATTCTAAAAGTTATGAAAGATAGGAAAGTGTCAGATGCAAGCAAGATTTAGGAGATACTGAAATACTTGGAAGTACAATATTGTATATAACTGATCAAAACTTGCTTTTAATTTATATTGTTTTTAAAATATTTATGAACAGATTCCTACTCTGTTCCAATACATTTAAGCAGGCCAATACATTAAAGAAAAGGCCACTTAAGTTATTACAAAAGCATATTGTAAAAAAAAAAGTTATTACTCTTTAAACAAAGATAATGTTTAAGATTTTTACTAAATTTTATATTCAGTTGCAAAGGTAAGCCAAAATCCCAAATTTTTTAAGTAATCTTGAGAACTTCATACCTCAGCACTATTACAAGGACTTGTCTTCAATAGTTTCCAAGCACAGAGCATTTCTCATGTTTTCAGCATTAAGTGTTTAAGCAGAAAGATGTCTCTCCATGTTTATTTCATTGCTAAGTAGGCCCTGTAAGACGTTGGGCAATTGAAAACTGAAAACTAATCGTAATGCAAGTTTTAAATCCAATCAGAGTTCTCCATCATTAGTGTTTAAGTAGGATATTTTTAGGGCATTGTTTAACACCCAGCAATAACTTCAAAATTAATAATGTCTTTTGAAAAAGGTTAGCAACATAACCCACTCTTTTATATGCAGACATATTTCTTGAGGCAATCATGACCATAATAATGACTCTCTCAGGCTTATTCTAATGATAYAAAAAAATATCCAAGTACAACTACAATTCCAAAAACACAGAATTATTTCTTCTTAGCTGAATAGGAAATTGAAGAAAACTTTGAAAAGAGCAAGAAATGAGCATGAATTTCACAGARCTTTTTTTGAGGTGGTAGTATATTTTCTTGGAGTCCCTAATACCTTCATTGGGACTGAAAACCCTGCCAGATTTTATACCATATCCTGAAATGAAGAAAAGGAAAAGTGACAGACAATTTGGTTTTCTTTTTATTTGTTTAAACAGAAGGGAAAAAAGCCCAGCTACTCACCACTGGTAAAAAATTAGCCAGCTAGTCTTACTGTCATCTAGTCATCTAGTTCTAATACATTGGATTCAGCTTCTAGTAATTTTGAAGYAACTTTACTTTTAGCAGATATAAAGTTTGAAGAAAACAGAATGTTGGCATTTAAAGAATAGAGAATCTGTTTACATGTCACCTATTGCACTTATGAGCAACTGTTGTATATGTTCAGATATTAAAGATATGTTCAGAAAAATATGTTCAGATATTAAAGATAACATCAGAAATTCAATTATTCTGTAAGGAACATAGTGACAATGAAGCTCACAGGTCTCTTCTGGCAATCATTCTTACAGAATAATTTATTGCACACAAATTAATTGATCTGACCCCTTACAACTATTTTGAAGCACAAATCAATCTTCATCTGTTAATTTATAAAAAACAGGAAAAAATGGAGACCTGAGAAATGCCAGCAATGGCTTCTTCATTGCTATTGYCACAGGACATTTAC